AGACAAAGAGCAGAATATATGTCTTATTCTTTTATTCACTTAAACCATTGTATTATAGAAAATAGAAAAGGACAAAAGTTCAGTTGTGTCCGAACTCTTATCAAACTAATACCATCCAGTGACTCTACAGAAAGCCATCCTGACTTATTGCATACTTTTGCGTGATTTTGCTGATCAATAGATAATAATAGATTCATGTTCGTTTCGCAACAGCCGGTATTCGACTCAGAATATTGGGCTACTGTGTCGGACCGCATGTGTCACGCGGTTTTTATACCAGTACTGTTTATTAGTTTGAACACAATTATAACATACAGTGTGTGCGATTTCAACCCGCAACACCCTTCTAATTTGGAACCCGTCCACCGATTTATAAAAACAAAAATTCCATAATATAGTACTCAACGAGCTCTATTCGAGAATGTGAACAAATTCGAAATATTCAGATTCTCAAGGCCTACTTTTGTTTGTTGAAGGGATCAAAATTTCAAAAACAACTATCAGGCAATTTTTTATCGAAACTGTGACTAGCCTATTCGATTCAGGCATAGCTGAAATATCCCCATACGAAATTTGAACGCAAAATCTCATATAGGGTGTTAGTTATTCAGTGGCAAATTTTGATATTTTGATTCACCCTGTGTCAAAATCTAAGGAGTTGATATAACCGGTGAAGTAGTCATTCAATGGAGGAACACATCGGATACTGAGATACGAAGTTTCATCATTGTGACTTCTACAGAAAGATCTCTCTTGGTCAACCAAAAATCAATGAAATTTAAGTTTTTCATTATTGTCCATATATTTTTTTCCTGGTAATATAAATAATGGTAACTTATTCGAGGAGATATTCTCTATACATAACAATTTTTATTGTCATCTCAAATTTTCCATCCATTCCGCCAAAATCGGTATATTATTATGATCACTTTAAGCGAGACTTTAAGTATCAGAGTTGTTACGTTATGTGCGTTTAACTCAAATATCCAAATGTAGACGACCAGGAATACACATCACACGTAGCTAATATACGGATACCAACACCCGAGAGCTGCTGCTACCTATGTCAAATAATGGAACCTCTTTTTTGTACGATCTCAAAAAGTTTCGAGAATAACGAGCAGATTAAAAATGGACATGATATCGCAAACAGTGTGAATTTGGTTAAGAATTTCCACGCTTTAGGCGGTTAAATTCACAAGTTTTGGCAGTATGATTATGAGACTACGATGTGTATTGTGTAGTATTTTCAACTGTCAGAGTTTCTCAGTATCGTGAGGATTTCGATATCAGTTTTCCAGTTTTTCAATAAGGAAGTGAGAACGTCTTGCGATTATTTAGGGATACGATAATCGGAGGTGAGTTCGTTATTTCTTGTCTTCATGCTCCGTATTCTCTATCGACGAATACATGAAAATTTAAATAAATAAATATATCTTTTAGGCGTTTTTGGTTGGCGCGGAAATCTGGAAATATAGTTTTCCCAAAGATTTCACCGTATGAGCTGAAATTCGACATCATCGTACCATTCTGTGTACCAAGTATTTTGGAGTTCTGGTTATGAGCTTATCCACCCCGGACTTCACCCGCTAACAAGGCTAAGTACCGCATAGCGGCTTGATATACTCACCTACAGGTTTTGTGACAATGAACAAGTTTTACTTTGACGAGCCAATATCCATGTTATAAGAACCGACACTTAGTTGCGTGATTAATTATTGTTATATAGTGTTATAGTGATATATAGTCTATCCTTCTGAGTTGTCGCCGTATATTACATCACCCTATATATACATTTTCATATAGGAGGCTGGATAAACTATCCTTATTCGACATTTTTATCCACCCTCTTCCCCTCTCGCGAGAGTTAACATAGTCACACAAGACATCCCCTCTGTAATTATTTTAGTTCTATATAGGTATAAGCAAGTATAAGTGTCGTCCCAGATTATGTAATAGTGCTTTTCCTTTTTCGCAACAGGCGCGAATATAATTTCCTGATGTGAATCACTGAAGTAGTATGTCTGATAATATATAGAATATATTTCAACTATTTTGTTTGGTTTCAATCTAGGGTTACCTATACCAGAGAGGTATCGTATAGGTTCGATCTCTCTGTGAGTATTAAAAGGTTAGTTTTATAAAAATCTATTGGCGCCCTCTATTTCAAAAGCTAACTGTGAGCAAAACATTATTCTCAATCTTGTGAACGTAACCACCATTCAAATAACCATCATTGGTGATTCTGATATTTTACGTAACAGAGTTAATCTCCTTGCAGTCTCAGGAGAGTGTTTGTCTGTCATTCTATTTGTGTTATATCCGACAATTCTTTATCAATCGGGACGATTTCCAAAGTTACTGTGTGATGACTGTGATGAAATGAGTTTTCAAAATGGTGAACCTATAAACCGAGACCTAAACTGTAATTTTATTGATTTTTGGTTGACCTAGAGAGATCTTCCTATAGAAGTTACAACGATGAAACTTCGTCTTCAAGTATTCGATGTGTTCCTCCATTGAATGACTACTTCAGCAGTTATATCAATTTCTCAGATTTTGATACGGGGTGAATCGAAAAATCAAAAATATCAAAATTTGCCATCGAATAACTAACACCCTATATGATATTTTGCGTTCTAATTTCGTATGGGGGTATTTGAGCTATGCCTGAATTGGATGGGCTAGTCACTGTTTCGACAAAAAATTGCCTAATAGTCGTTTTTAAAATTTTGACCCATTCAACAATCAAAAGTAGGCCTTGGAAATCTGAACATTTTAGATTTGTCCTCATTTTCGAATAGATCTCGTTGGGTACTATATTATGAAATTTTTGTTTTTGAAAATCGGTCGACGGGTTTGTGTTTTTTTAATTCAATTTTAAATGTTGAAATATGTCTGAAATTTTTTATATAATGTGGTAATTTATTAAATTCAGCTAGAGCAGCGTGAGTAAATTTTTTTTGGCCAATTAGCAGTAGCAGTAGCAGAATCAAGATGAAATAAGTTTAATTGTCTCGTGTGATGACCATGAATTTCTGAGTTTCTTACCAAAACAAAATTGGATTTCAGATTATTGTTTATTATATTATATGAAACTTTAAGAGAATCTATTTTATATAATTCATCCAATGAAAATTTTTCTGTTATCGCATACAGATCATTTGTTGGAATATCAAATGAGAGGCTATACAATACTTTCAGTGCTTTCTTATAAAGTGCAGATATTTTACTGAAATAATTTTTTGAACAAGATCCCCAAACGTTCATTATATAGATAATACGACTGAGTATATGAGAATGAAGTACTATGTTTATGACTTTTTTGTCAAGTTTAGGACATCTTCGCAAAGCTCCGATGATTGGAGATATTTTTTGTATCAGAACCTCTATATGCTTGTCCATTTCAATTTTTCATCAATCCACAAACCAAGATACTTTATTTGTGTAGTTCTTTTCAATACTTTATTTTTAATTTGAAGATTGTGTTTTAATGCTAAGCAATGTGCCATCTGACGGCATATATCACGTGATCATCAAGTGTGATTATTTGGTAGTAGAATCGAGGTTATAACAATTCTTCATTCAATTTTGTGACTGATTATAATATGATTATTCGTTTTTAAAACCGAATGTGGTAGAAAAATATCTTCCGAGTCGTTCTGGCAAAATTAATATTTTGACACATCACACTTGGCGTCAAAAACATATCATTTTTGACAGAATGACAGCACGAAATGATGAAGGTTAAAATCCCAATTGGGACTAATATTCTGTTTATTTTTTTGATGGAATATTATATATTCAGTTTTATTGGTGTTAATTGTTAAAATGTTTGAATAAAGCCATTTTTAAAATTTTTTCAAATCTTCGTTAATAATATTTTCTAGAATGATGGGGTTTTTGTTTTCGTATAGAAGTACAGTATCATCTGCATATATAGTATAATTACCTGATAATCCGATTTCAGAAATATTTTGAATATATAATAAATACAAGATGGGCCCTAAAACAGATCCCTGTGGAACATCTTTACTTATTGGAAATTTATTAGACTCTGACATATTACATTTAGTGCTGATTGTCCTATTCGCAAGATAAAATTCTGAAAGATTTTTAACAATGCCTCTGAGTCCAAGTATTTTAAGAGATTCTTATGGTCAACTGTATCAAATGCCTTTTTAAGGTCAATGAAAATAGCTACAACGTAATTTCCCGTATCAAGTCCTTCTTGAATTTTTTGTACTACTTGTAGTACTGCTGCTTGTGTACCACTATTTTCTTGGAATCCGAACTGATTATTATCAAAACTATATTTTTTGTTTATGAAATTTACAATACGCTTCTTCAAAATTTTTTCAAATATTTTCGAAAATAAGCTTAATATAGCTATTGGTCTGTAATTTTCTGGATCTTCAGCATTCCCACTTTTGAATATTGGTCTCAGTGAAGCATTCCACATTCGGTGATCGACAAACGAACAACCCTGCTATACTCTATATTTTGTATGCTGTTCCAAAGGTGGATATATGTATGGTGAAATAGCTCCCTCTTACAAAACCCTAGACATTTTTGTAGACCTCTGGCCTACTTGATTATGTCGAATTCTATCACCGTAGTAAGGCCGCGCAAAACTAACGCTAGATGGCGCTGTTCCCGAAGTGATCTTGCTACACAATGGTTGTTTTGTTTTGTTGTTTACATTTACGTATATTGATTCGTAATTTTAAAACATTGAGGAAAAGTGATTGATTTAATGAAAAAGACGTGAAATTTTCATTATATCTGTGAATTATATGTGGCACGATGTTCCCTACGCCATCTACAGTCAATCCGGTGCGGCCTTGCTACGGTGTTTCGCGGTCTACACGTTTTGGAAAGAAACAATTGACAAGTGGTTACACCAGTCCATTTTCATCATGGCTGTTCCAATTAGGCATGGAAGGACTATACCCTAGACTCTAGAGACTCACCTTGCCGCGAATGCGTCTTCGCATGACCTCCGGGCGGCCCGTGCACTTCGGGCGGCTCGTTTGCGCTGTCGCCCCGGTCGTCGAGCGGGGCGGCCGCGAGCAGAGCGGGCGGCGCGTTCACTTCCGCCTCCACCGTGACGGGCGGCGGCTGGGGCGGCACTGGGATGCGGGCATACGTCTCGCTCTCGCCGCCGTAGATCGGGTTGTTCGGGTCGGGGATGGTCGTGTAGACATCGTCTGAGAGATGAGTTCGTTTAGAGCATACAGAGAAGTGCATAAAAAGCGGCTAGAGCTGCAACTTTTGAATCATTCGACATTGAAATTTTAAATTTGGTGGGTAGCAACTATACCATATTGTTCATTTATTGAGGAGAAAAAAAATTATTCCATCACTTCCGGTCTAACCGGAACAGGAATCATCATCTTCATTATTCCCAAGAAACAATTGACGTATATGTTTATAACAGGGAACATTAAGAAATGAACCATAATGTATTACATTATATTTAAAATGTAGTAGGTATAGGTATAATAATTATTCTAGTAATACTCAGAGTTTGAGCTGATCCTTGTTTGAGTGAAGGAATGATGATATGCGCACTATTGAATTAGAGTATACATTGAAATGACTCATGCGTACCAAAGAATCAGTCTATCCGAGAGCACAGCCTAATCGTGGATTGCCCTGCTTTTTCTTAATACTGAATTCAATGGGAGTTTCATGTAATAAGAGTTGCCAGTGCAGAATATATTTAAAAATAAAATGGATAACCCGAAAAAACTTACCTGAATCATCAGATACTGTGGAATAATGGGGATCCAGCTCTCTCTTCTTCTTATTTATCTCCTTACTTTGTGCCATTATATTAGCCAGAGGTTCTCTGACGCTGATGCTGGTGTATCCTTCTATAACAACAATATTGTAGAAATATTATAATAATAATAATAATAATGAGGTATTTATTCCTTTCATTGATCATACAAAGAATGATATAGGAATCGTCAAAAAAAAGTTGTATAACATTATTATACAGAGAATATACAAACACATAAAAGTTAATACATTGACATGAAGATAAAATGGGTCTAACATTCAGAACATTCAAAAACAATGATTGGAGGTAAACATTTAAAATACAATCGCTTTATAAATACAATCACCTCACTTCAGATTGTTGTCTCCAGAAATTCCTTCACAGAATAGAAACTTCTTTCCAGCAGATAATACTTAACATTTTTTTAATTTTGCGAAAGTTGATATTCCCTTTATATCTGGGGGCAGAGAATTAAAGAACCTCGGACCAGTTGTAAAGTGTGACTTTTGAAAAATCTGAGTGCGGTGTTGTCTCAACCTCAGTAAATTACCGCTCCTTGTACAAGATAATTTCTATTTGTTTCGAACTTGGATTCGTGTTTTTTCACGTAAATGACAGGATGGTAAATGTATATAGAGGGTAGTGTTAGAATTTTATGTTCTTTGAAAATAGATCTACATGATTCGGGATATTTCAGACCATATATGAGTCGAATTATGCGTTTCTGACCCATAAAAGCCCGATCAATCGTACCATTCTCCCACAGGAGAATATTGTAGGAAAGTACTGAGTTCACCATTGCATAATAAACATCGGCAAGAATATTCACAACCAGAACTGTTTTGAGCTGCAGTAGAGCATAAAAACTACTATTGATTTTTTTATATACATAATTGATATGATGTTTCCATTTCAATTCGGTGTCTATATATACACCTAAAAACTTTGTTGTTTCCGAAGGGTGTACAGTAATATTATTAATATTCACAGAAATAGGTAAATCCGTAGCTTTCCTACCAAAAAACTGAACACACAGCACAGTTTTCTCGGCTTTAACTATCAGTCTATTACTCTGACACCATGCAGTAAATCTTTCACCTATGATGTTTAGTTTGGACTGAAGTTGCACAAGGCTGTCGGCTTCTGCCGACATTGAGGTATCATCAGCAAATAATGTGATTGATGTACCTCCGATATATTGTGGGAGATCATTAATATGTAGTAAAAATAATAAAGGCCCTAACACTGATCCTTGTGGTACACCGATATCTATATCAAATAGTTCTGAGTTAGAATCATACTATTTTACAAATATGTTCCTATATTTCATGTAGGATATAAACCAAGCGTGGAATTTTCCAGGAATACCTATGGTATACCAGTATATCAGCAAGTATATCGAAGTCAATGGAGTCGAAAACTTTGGTTAAATCGAAAAACAGCGCTATAGATATTCTCCAGGAATACTATAGCAGCGCTTTCTGTCGATCTACCTGGGCAGAAACCGTTTTGATACTTGCTGATAACATTATACTTCTCTGAGAATGAATGAAGTTTATTATTGATGGATTTTCCCACAATTTTGCTAATAACACTAGGAATTGTAAATGGTCTGTAATTATCAATGATGAGCGGATCACTTGTCTTAAATAGTGGAAGAACTTTTCCTACTTTCAGCATATCTGGAAATGTTTCTATCTCTTAAGATAAATTGATAATAAATGCGAGTGGTTCACAGATAAAGTTCGAAATGAATTTTATGATTTTTGTGGTAAGGCAATCTATACCTGTAGAATTTTTATAATTTTATATTATAAACACTCTATACAAGATTTGGTGTCACGGTAATTGTAATAATAACATATAGTATTGATTGTGCTCATCTAATTTGAAGTAGTAATAGAAGCTCAAGAGGAAATATTCCAATAGTTGTGCAAAATTGCGCGTTTTCATAGACTATCTCAGTAACTGAAGGTTTTATCAAAAATTCGATATACATGTTACGGGTTCGATTTTAGAGAAACCTCGAATGGTACAATTGGAATTTTGATATCTTCATTGGTTTCAGAGATACAGGTGGAAATTGAAAAATCGCCGATTTTTTTTTTATTATCGTAGTACTTTATGAAGAGAGATATTGAAAAATTTCGAATTTTTATCCATATAGAATGATGCGTAGAATCAATTGACTTCATCAGAAATTGTATACAGATATACAGAGTATCATTTTCAACCTATATTCTGCCTCTTTATAGCATTTTCCAGAGATGTCAGTGATTCCATAGCTGCTGGCGAGCAGTGTTATCACTGGAGATGATCCCACTTGATCCTCGAGTGTATCGTTGGCATCTCTCCCACAGCTGCGAATGTCGTAATCCTACCTCAATGATTATTACGGAAGATACAGAGGTGCAACCATGAGAAATGTGACACATTGAGTATATTTTTCCGAATATTTCTGAAGTTGTCGAAGAAAAAGGTAGGGTAATATATATATTTGAATATGAAATGCCTAGGACTATCCAACTGTGCCAAAATATACGGGGTGTTCCATTGGAAAAAAAAATTGACTGCCGTATCTTCTTGATGTCACCCTGTATACAATTTCTGATGATGCCAATGGATTCTACTCATAATTCTATATGGATAAGAATTTGAAATTTTTCAATTTCCTCCTGTATCTCTGAAACGAATGAAGATATCAAAATTCCAATTGTACCATTCGGGGTTTCTCTAAAATCGAGCCCGTAACATGTATATCGATTTTTTGATAACTCCTTCAGTTACTGAGATGGCCTATGAAAACGCCCAATTTTGCCCACCCTGTACTCCGACGGTGTCGCGTCAATTGGACGTGGAAAATTGGACGCACGACTATTGGTCGCAGTCAATTGGACGCGGCGACAATTGGACGCGGCGACAATTAGACGCGGCGTCAATTAGACGCGGCGACAATTCGACGCGGCGACAATTCGACGCGGCGACAATTCGACGCGGCGACAATTGGACGCATGCGTAAATAAATATAATTTTATAATTCCAATGAAATTCATTGTATAAAATATGAAATACTGAAGGGCTTATATCCATAATTATAACAAATACCTGACAGGTTAGGTTAGGTTAGGTTAGGTATTTGTTATACATATTATAGATATGAGCCCTGCATATTCCATGCAATAAATTTCATTGGAATTATAAAATTATTTTTATTTTCGCATGCGCTCAATTGTCGCCGCGTCAAATTTTCGTCGCGTCCAATTGTCGCCGCGTCCAATTGTCGCCGCGTCCAATTGTCGCCGCGTCCAATTATCCGCGTCCAATTTTCGTGCGTCCAATTGACCACGTCCAATTGTCGGTAATCCTACTCCGACAAATGCGCAACTCACTCGACGAATCCTGCGAGTCGCCGCTGAAGTGGTCCTGCGCCGGCGCCTGCGCAGGCGCGGGCATCACGGGCGGCGGCGTCATGTAGGGCAGGTCGGGCGAGGCGGCCACCGCCCCCGCCACCGCCGAGGCTGCGGGAATGTCCAGACCGCCCCCGCTGTGCGCGGAAGACCTGCGCGATCTCGTCGGCGGGAGGTCGACGGTGGAAACGGTCACGTCTGCCCTGGAACAATGAAAATAATAATATGTAATCGTTTTTATTCATAAATTTCTCGATACAACTGTTAGAAAATAGTAGATTGTTTTATTAGGATCAAAAGTGACACTTTGTTTGACAAGCGAATTTTGCATTTGCGAGGCGGAGCGTTTAGCGAAGCCGAGCGAAAGCAAAATTTGCGAGTCGAACAAAGTCACTTTTGATCCGAATGAAACATGCTATTTTTTCTGCAACCGAAACAATTAACTCAAATAAGCATGTGAAGTAACTACCAATGCCGTGCCATATGTATGCAATGCAACAAATATTGACAAATAATCCGTGTGGTGAGAATATTCTACCTGCATTAACAGCAGGTTAGGTTTTCCAGGATGTTCGAATTGTAGTTTCAATATAAATACAACCACAGAGTGACATATTTGTGTATGGACCAGGTGCTCTAATGGCAAATACCGTGCCAGTGCCAGCTATAGGAACAAGACGTGGAAAATGTTAGGTTAGTGAGCATATCAACAATGATAATAGTGATTATTTATTCCTCTCTATACTACACTGTGTTTGACTTGATAATCAAATGAAGCTAAACAATATCGTTGTTTGAGACAAAAAAACAATTGCTTGCCGTGATTATTCAAAAACAAGTTATCCATCCCGAGAATAACGAATGAAATACAGATCAAGCAAGTGATTGAATCTTGAAGGCTTCTCTGATCAAAACAAAAATACTCAACTGAGATGTTTATAATTCCAATACTGGCAATACTTAACTATAATAAGGTGTATTAATATCTTCATCACCATCGGCATGAAATGCCAAATATGCCGGAATCGGAAACAAATCAGGTATGCATCTCAACCCAAATAACCAACCGTAACAATGTCGTTCATTCTTGATGACGTCCAGTACATCCTTTTTAGTTCCTAGGAGCTAAAGTTCAACTTTAGCTCCTAGGAACTAAATATGTTGCCTAGCAACATACCTACTTTTGTGTCAGTAATAGAAACGTCAATTTAAGAGCTAATTTTGGTATCAAAATGGACGACTTTTGTGTCGGTTGCAGAAAAACTATTATGTGAATCGGTTATAGTTTTTTTTATGTTCTGGTTCGCTACTATCGAGGCATGCTCCGTAGTGACGTCACCTTAGTGAGGCCTAACCAGCGGCTCGAAACGACAAGCGCTTATGGCGCTATGAGGCGACCGCGTATTTCTATTTTAGTTTTAGATCATTATTGAGCCGATTTTGTTGTTTTTTTGAAGGGCTTCCGGTTAAAAAAGGATGCCAGTCGTCAACTGAGCCCTTCTTCGCATCCCATTCGATTTTATTATGGAAAAACGAAGTTTCAAAGCAAAAACCAGAATAACACAAATACCCACCTACAGCAACCCATTCGAATTAAATATATTGGCAAAAATTATGGTGAAGGTAAACTTCACACCTACTTATACAGGGCCCGCAGAACATAAACTTATCGTGAGAGAGAGTTTGTTCTCTTAATTATCGTGAGATAGATCGAAAGAAAATTGTGGAAAATGTATTTTATTTTGATAGACGTGCCGTTTGTTATAATTACCAATATTTATCTTGGAGAATTCCAATTACCTAATAAATTATCCAGTGAGTGTTTTCAATTTCCAGTTGTTGGATTTCTTAAATAATTATTGATCGTTAGACTTGAAACAGTAATTTTCAAGGGTAAAACTGCATTTATCATGCGATGTTTTTTTTGCGAAAATTTTTTTGGTACTTACGTATTTCTGTCTGAAAAATTCGAATTTGATAATGTAAATGTGAACAAACCACTATTTATCGAGATATTTCAAGAAAAAAATCGAAATTTCGCCTCCTTTCTCCCCCTGTTTTGGAGGCATTTAAAGCTACTTGACCTTCTTATTTTGTCATTGGACACTTTATATACTCATGATGTACTTCGATGACACATTTTTATATAGAAAATTCAACAGGAAATGTGATTTTTATGGCGAGTTTTTCATATTTAGTGAACAAGCATTCCAGAAGACGGCCATTTAATCAATAGTCAATCTAAATACGAGATGTCAAATGTCAATAGATTGCTTTGGAATGACATTACACACGCCATTATTTTAAATGATATTCTTCCTTCTTTTCACTAAATATGGATATATCCCAAGAAAATCATATAGTTGAATCATATGATGTAAAAAAATGTGTCATAGATTGTGATATATATAAATTGTCAAATATGATGAAAGAAGAAGAAAAACTGTTCTAAATGCCATCCAGAAAGCGAAAAATAAGGCGAAATTTGTAACTTTATAGTCAAATATCTTAATAAATAATGGTTTGTTCACATTTTCATTATCAAATTCGTGTTTTTCAGACAAAAATACGTAAGTACCAAAACAATTTTATGATAAATGCAGTTTTACCTTTTCAAGTAGAGTGTTTGTAGTACATGTTAATATGATAGTTGCAATTTGATCATTGGAATGAATTCTGCATTCATTGCCACGAGGCAAATGACCGTTTTCAAAAAGAAATTTGAGAATGTATTGAGTTGAAAATGCCCGTTTATTGTGAATATTCAAGAACATTTCCTCGAATTCAGAGATGATTTCGTTGAATATAATATTCGAATACAAAACTAACTGCACAATCAAAGCTTTTTTCTTTTTCCTCTACTCTTATTTTTATAAGAGAGTAATTGTCTCCTATTATTAATTCATCATTATAAATTTAGCTCTGTTATCTACTGTACTTAAATGGAGTAAAATCCTCGCGGTGAATTGCATATACCCACTATTTTGATAGCTCCTGGTCCAACGGGAAACTAAAAGCATAAACTTTTGAACCACCCACATAATTCCCCCGACAAAAGGGAACACAACACTTGAAAGGCATTGTTATTTCGCCTATCACAACACAAAATATTTCACAAAACAGTAATTTTTCCGCCAATTATTTTGATGAATAAACAACAAGAGAATTCGGGACCGCTTCAAAAACATATGTGAACCACCGAACATGGATTAACACGAACTGACGCGTTGATCGACAAGCGCTAAAACATTGGCCTCTCTTAGGTGACGTCACGAGCTGTTTACGTCAGAGTCTGCTGGCCTTCTAATCACGATGGTAACGTCTGGTTTCCACGACAAGGGATATCCTGTAATGTTCAGAGAACATCGTGAGAACCAAAGGAAATGAGGTATGAATTGGTGTTCTTCTTAAATTCTAGAGGTTATATGCCTTGGCAATGTGTTCCAGAGGCTCGCTGTTCGTTGGATGAACGAGTCTTTGGAAATAGATATTCTGCAGGTCTCCAAAGTGACCACGAAGGGGTGCGAAGCCTCAACTCGACGGGTTAATCTCGCGGGGACTGCCAAGGGAGCAACAATTGTTGATATTTCAGAAGAGCATCATCCATGAAAATATCTATGAAAAAGAGCCAGATCGCCAACTTTTCTACGGTGTTCCAGAAAAGTGAGTGAGTTTGTGAGCGAGGCATCACCCACGAGACGAATTGCCCTTTTTTGGACAGAATCCAACAGTTTCAGGGTATGTTTGGGTGCTGCACTCCAAATATGAGAACAGTATTCCAGGACAGGTCGGATCTGTGCCTTATAGATCATAAGCAGCTGACTGGAAGTGAAATACCTCCTGGCTCGAAACAGAAAACCATGTTTTTGGGATGCACTTTTAGCAATTGATCTCACGTGATTTTCCCAAGGAAGGTTATTGCTGATAGTAATACCATCAAAATGGATATCTTCAAAGGTATGGTTACTCCTGACAAGCTTATGTTGGGCACAGTGAGATCGGCTTTTCTAGAGAAAAGGCATGTTTGTATTTTGTTTGCATTGAAATCTACCAAGTTATATGGTAGAACTTGTCAGACAATATGTGAAAATACGACCTTGCAACACAAACCATCTACGTTTTTTTGTCAATTATAAAAATAAGAAATGCACAAAACAACCCGTTGGAATACATACATTTGGTAAAATGCCAAAAGTTATTCCAACTTTTTTGAATTTACCTCATCCTGAAGAATATACCGGACATTGTTTTCGGCGATCGTCTGCTTCATTTTTGGCTGATTCTGGAGCTGATCTGTGTACCGTGAAACGCCATGGCGGATTGAAAAGCAATACTGTTGCTGAAGGTTACATCAAAAATTCGAAAGAGCAAAAGAAAAAAATATCCGAAGCAATTTTTGGTGCCAAAAACCAAACAGGATTACAAGTTTACCAAAAATCATCAATAATTACTGATGTAAAAACTCTAGAATCCATTGGAATTAATATTGTAAATCGTAGTAAATGCTCTTTTACCCAATGAACTCAATATAAACAACTGGAAGGGACCCTTTGTGAACGATGAGTGAGGCAAAAATATTTTTCAGGCAACCCGCAGTGTTTACGGATACCTATCTCGCTCTATCTTATGTTCGCTAATGGGAAGCGCTCGCATTATTCGAAATATTTTCTCGTTATCGTTATCATTAAAAAATTATTATTGATTTTTTTATTGACTTAAAAATGAAATTTCAGTTTTATTCTTACAGGATTAGGAAGTCAAATGAATACAAAATTGAAATTATATATTTACATTCAAATGTCACAATATATTGTACAGGGTGAGCAAAGCACAATGTCTTAGCACTCTCAGAAGAAAAAGAAAAACGATAGGAAAAATTTCAAAAGAGGTTCTTGAATGGTATTGACTACCTATAAGGTCCATTTTGAGCATAATTTCCATAGGTCCCTATTTCACCATTAGGTCCCTGCCTACAAACATATCCCTATTAGAAATCCAAAAAATACAATTCTCAATACAATATCCTTCTCCAAAGGAACAGTTTGGGTTTCATTATTGATGAACTTCGAAACTTGGGAGCTGGAAGTCATAGGTAGAGTCCATAATATGACAAACTTCTTCCTTAGGACCCAATGTTATGGACTTCCACAAATGCATCCTGAAAATAAATTACTAGCTAGTTTTTTTTATTTTAAAGAGGTGC